GTGCAAGATTCAAGCCATCAGCTGTATGAAATGGCTATGTACTGTGTATACGTATATAACGGCATGCGTGTGTTTCTCTCTCTGTGTGTGTGTATGTATGTGTGAATGAATGAGTGTGCGTGCGGCGTGTGGGATGCAAAGAAAATCGAAACAGCTGTTCTATCGGTGTATATGTGTATGTGGTTGTGTGTATAATCGAAAAGGGCCCCCGAATGAAAATGCAGCAAACCATCAAATGGATATATTTTCTAATGGTATCGTTTGCCTACCATTATCATTTCGAGCTGCTGCTGCTGCTGCTCCTATTGCTGTTTCTGTTTCTGACGCTGTTGTCGTTGTTATTGTTGCTGCTGCTGTAATTTTTTTCCGTGCGCTTTTCCATTTTCAGCTGGTTGTTGTTTTCACTATGGCCGCCCCCGGATTGGTTTAAGAAAAATGAACTGACATTCCGTAACGAAATGTATCTATCAAATCGGTTGTTCGGAAGAAGAGTGCGCTTGTTTCAGTTTTCGGTCATTTCGGTCACGTATTTAATGAGCATAGGTTAGGGTCATAGTCTGCATACATCAGCAGGAATAAAAAAAAAACTCCACAGCACATTAACAGCAACAACAGCCACGATGAGGAAGAAAACAAATTGGACCTTTGGCTCTTGCCACTCATTCGCAATGCATACAATTGTCGGCTTTAAGATAAAGAAGCCGCATCCTGGACGCCTCTCTTATTTATCTTTTGATTTATTTAAAGGATTTTGATTTTGCCACCACCGCCGCCACCATTGCTGCCGCCGTCACTCTCTTTGGCCGCCCTCTTAACATTCTAAATGGCATTGCATTTGCACGAAATATTACTTAAAGTGACGCCCTGACAAAAAACCCGAATTTATTCCAAACATGGAATACACACAAATGTATTATAAACACATGGCAATTACATTTTCGCGTAGAGAGATTTTTTCTTTGCCTTCGTCGCTTTTTTTCCTTTGCTCTCTGGTGACAGATGGAAAAAAGCGAACGGGAATGAATTGAATGTATTTTCATTGAAATGATGTGTATCATGCGAAAACAAGCCAATTTGTCATCGAAGCACGTACACATGCTCTCTCTCTCTCTCTCTCTCTCTCTGTTGGCGCGCGCGTTCGCACTGAGACAATGAACAATGTTCGTTGGTATTGAAGCCGTCAAAGACAATGTAAGAGCAGAGCATTCATCTCTTTTCTGCGCCACACTCTCAATGGTGATGAATCGATTTCTTCTTGCGTTGTACGTTTTATTTTTCTTTCTATCACTCGTCTGTGTTCGGTGTTTAGAGCTTGGTTTAGTTTACTGGTGGTATTTATTCTGGTGGTAGTGGTGGTGGCAGTGATGGTGGTGATGATGATGCAGCCGCCTCCATTGAATGCCAAAATTCTCATTTTCAGTGATTGTTAGTACGCGCGGCATTCTTTTTCCTTCATTCGTTGCATACGTAATTGAATTTCTATTCTCAGCCTCAAGCAAGCTCGTAATGCGAAAAATAAAGGAAATCAACAACAACCACGGCAGAGCACACACAGAAAAATAACCGAAAATTGCTCGCTCATACATCAGATGGTGCATGTTTTCGACTAAAATTGACAAAATGTATTTTATGCACATACGAAAGCGGTTACAAGCATCAAGCAAGACACACACACAATGAACGAATGCCAGTCGTAAATTATCAACGAGATGTCAATTTTCGCTCTCGTTGTTGTTTTTTTCTTCCTTCTTCATCGTTTTGCCATTCGGTTCCATCAGAAGCCGCACATTTTTATGTGCGATCCATCCATCGTGCTTCACTTCATCGTCGTCGTCATTCGCACAATCGATGCTTTTGTGTGTTTTTTTTTGCCGCACTCACTCACTTTAAGCAGTGAAAAATATAAATCCCGTTAAGCGAAGTGATATTCATAAGCGTTTTGTAAGTTGCTTTTGATTTTCGCAGCATTTCACCCCTTCTTTTTGCTCAACGTACACACGTAGAGATATCGGCTTTTCGACTGTCAATGCCATTGTTTGACACGCGTGTGTGTGTATGTAGTGAGCGAGAGAGCGAGTGAGATGAGATTTCAAATCTCATTGTTGTCAGATTTAGCAAGCGAAAGAACGAAAAATGATGCACACACACGGCGAGATAGAATATACATAAAACACAATCATTCGATGACAAATGAAACAAAACAGAAAAAAAAAGAGTTTTTTTTCTTTCTCTTGTTCGGCACCCGATTCATTTCATTCGCTTCAATTCAAATGGCAACAGCAACCAGGGAGAGAGTGTGAGAGAGAGAGAGAAAAAAATTGATGATATTATTTATGTAGATTTACGCCTGGGATTTTCGGGGCCCAAAATGTAGTTGATGATGTTGAGGCGTGAATTTGAATTTTAATCAATCTCTACAGTGTGTGTGTATGTGTGTTGTCGTTGCTATAATATGAGTTAAAATAGCATCCGCAATCACCCGCATTAAATCCTAGATGCCGATGACAACGATTTTTTCTTCCATCTTCTTCTTCCTTTCTTTCCTTCTCTCGCTTGGATCGGCAAATATACAAAAGAAAAACGGTGTGTATTTGTGTGTGGAATGTGCTGAATGGACGAGAAAAACCTCACACTTGAATGCTTTTACAAGGGACACGACATTGACACAAAACGCAACGGCAATACATACCGATTTTTATTCCCTTTTTTCTCTCCATTCACATTATATATATATAGAGAGAGAGAGAGAAAATATCTATCCACTTTGCACTCCAGTTTGTCGGGGTCTCTGTGTGCACTGCACAAGCTTACTTTGGTTCACTCTCGTAGCACACAAACACCGACCGACTGAAGGAAATGTGCGAACGAGCAAGCGAGCGAGCGAGCGAGAGCGAATGAAACATTGAATGTATGTCTTTTTGGTTAAAAACCATCTTTATGACATCAGCACATTCGATAAATGTCCTTCACTTACCCTTCTCGCGTTCGATGTGTTCGTTCTCGCCGTGTTATGTGTTTATCGAAATGGAAAGGAAAATAAATGTTTGTTGCGCTGTTCTGCTCTCGTGTAACTGCTGCTGCTGCTGCTGCTGCTGCTGTTGATGGTGATTTTTTGCTGCCTATTTTTTTTCATAATCTGCTTTGATTATTTTAGCAGAGCATTTCTTTGGTTCAACAGAATCGGTTGTTGTGCAACAGAATTTAGAATTAAAAACAGAACCAAAGAAGTAACGATAAGAAACGAAGAAAGAAAAAAAAAACCTTTCACCAAAACACTAGGCTATTTTCAAACCATTGAGTCAAAGGTTCTTTCCACTTCTTGTGGATTAAAAGGAGGATGATGAGAAAGAAGACGAAGAAGCAACTTATAAATCAGCTTATTCTTGTATCGCCTCCGAAATTGTTGTTTTCTCGCTCAATCGAGGGAATGTTTTTTAAAAATGAACGAAATCAAACGAAAAGAAAGAAAAAATTGATGACTCTTGCCTCATCAATTATGGATGGGAATGAAGAATAAGCCAAAATCAACTTTAAATAAATTTAAAAAAACCTAAGCCATACATACAATATTGTTCTTTCCGTTCGTTGTTGTTCGCCATCTCTTTCAATGCAATGCTGCTGTGTGTTAGCTGTCGTCATCTTGTTCGTTCTTTTTTTTATATAGAAATTATTCTTTCTCTCTCTCTCTCTCTCTCTTTCTCTCTCTCTCTCTCTCTCTCTCTCTCTCTCTCTCGCCATTCTTTCTCGTTTGGCTTAATTACAGACCCACAAGAGAAAATATTTCCATTGCCATCGCTCTGCCTGCCTGACGACCGACCGATATACATGCATATAAATTCAGTACCACTCATTGAACGGAATATATACATTTAGTACAAAAGCCAAGTCAATCAGCTGTTCATTTTCTTGTTTCTCTTTTCGGTCGTTCGTTCGTGCGTTGGTTCGGTCGCTTTTCATCCGCATCCGTTTTTTTTCTTCTACTTCTTCGTTTCTCTTCTCTTCTGGGTTTCGGTATTAATATTTATTGTGAACGAGAGAGGCAGCATAGTGTGTATTGTGCCTCGGCGTTGGTAATATGCCACATAATTTTCCTTCCATGCCAATGATTTGCTGTATGTGCTCTGGCTGGCTGTTTGTGTGTGAGTGTGTGAGTGTGTATGGATGCCGACTATGCCTTTGTTACATTGTACGCCATACAATGTACGCATATTTCGCGTTTTCATCTATACAATTTTCGGTTAAGTGTTGTGTATCGCATAACATCGTATGCGTTTTTTTAATGGCCATATAATTATTATTTATTGACTTTTCCTCTGTGTGTCTCTCGTTCTTTGTTGCTTGCACCGCCTGTTCATGCAATGCCTATAAATAAATTGCGCTTGGCTGTAAAATTTATTGACGAATTTCACAGCAGCAGCAGCAGCAGCAGGAACAGCGACAACGATGGGAAAATCATAAACATTTTCCCAGTTTTCATGAATTTATGCTTAATGCTTTTGTGTGTTGGTTTCCTTTTTGATTCAGTGGATGCTTGAAAAATCTTTCTCTCATTCACATACGCTTTGCCCTTCCTGTTCTCTCTTCCATCTTGGTGTTGTGCTGTGAATTTTGTTTTTCACTTCACTTAGTTGTCAATGTACGATGTGCTCTTGAGGCATATCGTGCGTCTCTCAAATCTCTCTTATATATTGTAATTACATTTGCCCGAAATACGATATCTCCCTGGTTGCCGTCATCGCTATGCTAAATTCTGAAAAGCATTTGCGATGTCGTCATCTTTGGATGAAAACCTTTTTTTTTGTCTTTCTGTTTCACCAAATAATTTTTTGGTCAAAATGCTGTGCATCAAATTTACATTTCCGCACCGGCAATATAGCCCTAAATCATTTTTTATGGTAGCGTTGTAAAAACAAATCAGACACGCACACGTACGTAATTTTCTCTTAATATTTTAATACTAATGCGATCTTTGTTTTTCTCTTCTCATTTCTTCTACACAGATTGGACTAGGCCACTGACACCGCCTGCAACAAATCGCCATTTGAAGAGCGCCTCACCAAAAACCGGTTCCGGCGTATCACAAACAACAAAAACCGCCATTATCAATAAGAACAACATCAACAATAATAACAATAACAACAATAACACAATTAATGCAGCTTCCGATGCGGTAGCTGACACAAATCGGGCCAATAAATTAGCAACCACAGAGAATTTAGCTCCAAACTATGCCAATCAACCAGATTTAGTTACATCACCATCCAACAACACAATCACCACCACCGTCACCACCACACCAACAACACCATTAACAAATGGCAGTAGCGATCCAACGACCACCACCGTTGTCGATGAATCGGCAGTACAATCGTTGGCATTACGTCTTCAAAATGAATTGCGACGGGCGAAAAGTCAACATTTAGCCTGTACCGAAGTGTTATTACCGTCCGATTTATTGAATCGCATTGCATCGGAATTGATTGTCATGTCGGAAAAGGAGCCGTGCGGTATTCGCGGTTCAATCATCTACATCGAATTCGAAGACGAACCAAATAATACAAGGTAATATAACCCATTCGTTTGGACTCTTTTTTTCTCTCGCTTTTTTGTATTTTATTTCGGATTGCGCCCCATTCTTTGCACACGCACAATCAGAAAATAGAGAGAGAGAGAGAGATATACGATTTCTTTGTGTCGAATCGTCATGTTTACAAAAGCAATATATTTCGTTTGTTTGTTTTCCGTTTCAAATTGTACCGTTCGTTCATTGTGAATGGATTTATTTCAAAATAACACGTTTTGTTTGATTTTTCATTTCATGTGTGTTTGCGTGTTGGTCGCTGCTGGCTGATTTTCTTTTAAATACACTATGTATTCTTGATATCGTTTTTAGCACTACATGAAATGTAGAGCTACTAATCTGCTTTTTTTTCCTAGATACTTTTTGAGTGTTGAAACAAATTATGGTAAATTTGATTTTTTATGCTCATATTTTTTTATTTAATTGAAAACAGTGGCAGTAACGACAAATAAGTGCATAATATCTCGAAGCGCCAATCAAATTTTTATGATAAAATGTTGTTTAAAAATTATATTAATTTTTCGTATAATATTTTCTGACCGTCTTGACCAGAATTAAAGTGATTTTAGATTCTATGCTCATATTATTTATTTAATTTAAACCAAAGGCAGTATATTTCAAAAAAAGAAATTAAACCAAGATCTTGTAATTCATTTTACAAATAAATATATTACTTCAAAGTTACTTTGATGAAATACATTTCATGTAGTGCGCCAAAAAATAGTTTGTTGTGAAACAACAAAATAGATTAAGTAACTAAAAAACTCAAGAACGCAGAGCGGAGCGAAGCGAATTTCTTCTGTTGTTGTTGTTGTTTTTGACGCATTTTGTTTATCATAATATGTGAAATCGCGCGGTTTTCTGCGCTTCCTATGCCATGATTGCCATCGAATGGACGGTGTGTATGTGTGAATGAATTGGCTGTGGTTTTCATGTATGCCAACTTTAGTATGCACATTGATAGAGAGCAACGAAAAAACAAAACTCTAACAAAGTCGAAGTAACACGAAGCATTCATATGCCAAGGCAATTTGAACGAGAGAATAAACCAAGAAAAAAATAACAACGAGCCTCAATTGTTTTTCCTCGTCCAATTTTTTTCTTCTGTTTTGTTTGAAAAACGTAAACAAATATTTAAAAATTATTATGAAAAATAGATTATCAAGTCGTGCGTAACGTGAACGTTTGCGAATTTATGTTGCTGTTGTTCGGCTGCTTGTGGGGCTTAGAACTGAACAGTGGCGGTAGCGGCCGTAGCAAGCATATATATGTGTGTATGTTGTTTGATTTGGTGAAATCGGTTTCAAAATATGTATATTTGATCCGTCGATTTGGTCTGAAAATGACGAGCAAAAAAAAAAAACTAAATCGTGCACCAAACGCAAACACATGTCGCGATGGCCATTGTGCGGACTGCAAAACGGGAGTCGATATGAATGTTTTATACGTGTTTTGAACGTACATACATACAGTGGTGCACATCCATCACTTTTCGAAGGGGCAACGCTATGCTTTTCCCATTCAGGATGATTACTAATTGTGTTAAATCATAATTTTTGCAGTTTTTAATTGCTACCTCTCTCTCTCTCTCACTCACTCACTCACAACACCTCTCAATAGAACGCCCTAATTGAGAAATTAACACACACAGCAAATGAATCGATCCAAAATCGAATGGTCTGCTCAAGCTCACAAGCTTGGGTCGACTTGAAAATTGCATCACCTTTCATTTTAACAGCGTGATTTTTTTTCCATCGACCAACTGATTTGTTTTTCTCTTCTCGATTATGACATTTAATTTATTGCAATTTATTGATCATATGCAGATCGATTGTTCCGTTTGTCGCGCTATTTTCTCCGCGTTTATTTACCTCTCGGTGTTTGTTTTTGTATTCCTCTTTTGTCTCTATTTCGAGCTGCTGTGCTTTTTTTCTTGCCGGTGTTTTCCGTTGCGTGGCTAATCTTTTTCGGCGTCAATCAACCGCTACGCATTAAACGGACGCAATACAGAGGCAAAGATAAAACTACAGAGAGACAGAGACAGAGAGATAGAGATAGAGATAGAGCGAGACAGAGTTGAATAGAGCGAGAGAGACAGAGAGAGTTAAATCGAATGTATGGCGCAGCGCTCGGTTCAGAAAAATTGAACGCAAATTATATGGTAAAATTATGCGATTTACATGGCGCGAGCGCGTTGTTTGCGCGAGCATCAAGCATAACGGGATTTATTTGGCTTTGTCTCTTTGCCATCTCTAATAATTAATGTCCGAATAAATTTTCGAAAAACAACGCGTATATCAATTTATTGTAATACGCTGTGTGTGTGGACGAGGCTGGACAGTGGCGGGATTTAACGCCCTATTTATAATCATTAAATCCGATCAATTTGAATTGATATTTTGCTGTGTGTATCGTTGCCAATTGTGTATCGATTTATTTTTTTTTTGTTTTCGTTGTTTCGGGGCGTTCACGCCGCGGTTCGATGAAATGTGAATTTGATTGAGAGGCAAATGGAGAGTTAGCGGCAACAGCAATAACAGCAGCAACAGTAGCACCAATCGGTCACAAACCATATTTCACCCAAAAAAAACAAACGAAATGAAATGAAAGAGAACCTGAATCTATGTATGCATCGATGAAAACGACGACAGGAACAAATAAAAACACATCATGATATTAATTGGTAGCAAAAAAAAATTGTGCACGCGAACAAATACACACCACTGTCTATACAATCGAATGCGAATTTGTTATGTAATCGCACATCGGACAACGAACGAGTATACGAACGTGGAAAAAAAATCGAAGTACGAATGAATATAATTATTGTAGTCGGCCGAACGATATTAAATACACACATTCTGGCATGTCATTTTCGACCAAAAAACCCAAACGCAAACAGAGCCATGGCAACAATGGCAGCAGCAAACCACCAACCCGTTCACTGAATCAATAGAAAAAATTATTAAAATTATTGCTTCAGCTGTTCTGTATGGAACACGTGAAAGCGCTCGTTTGGCGAGCGAGCAAACGAAGCAGTAGCAGTAGCAGCGGCAAAAAAATAAGCGAACAAACGACCGACCGACCGAAATGTAATGTCATTGTTCACATCTAAGCATTTCATTTGTCCCCGTTTGATGGTTTATTTATTAAATGGATCTTGATTATTACGATTTTTTCTCTTCTATTCTTTCGATCTCGGTGCGCTGAGTCGCGTACGCTGTTTATGATCAACAAAAAAAAAGTGTTGCTTATGAGTTTCATGCTCGGGTCTGGTTGCGGCTTTTGAAAACACATGATGAAACAATAACGATTTCGCTTTGGCTGCAAATCGAAACCGAAAGATATACGATTCTGTCGCTGCATTTGCACCGCCTACGCGGCAATCAGCTAAAATTATAATTTAAAGCCAAAAACAACAAGCGACCAACAGATGAAAAAAACAAATAGCGCACACAGAGACACACATACGAAATGAGCTGAGCTGAAATGAATGTGAGTGTGTGGGCCCAAGTGAGTTCATTGGATACAAATGGCGTCCATCCAGAACACAAGCTCAGTCTCTCTAATTTTCGTATTAGTTAAATGAAGTGAATAGAGAGAAAAATGGTGTGTGTGTGTGTGTGTGTGTATTGTCTTTTTTTTGTGTATGGAACATCGAGTCGGTGAACGGAGATAATGAATAGCACAAGATCCATCAGATCGACCTGTGTCCCAGTTGATTGTGAGCTGCTGTTGCACAAGCAAACCGTTCACCCGCCGGCTCATGTCATAAAACTGTAAAATTCGAACGATGACGACTATTGAGATGTGCAAAAACGCATTTGACATGGCATCATTTATGTCACACTGCTGTTTATTGGTAGCGCTCTCTCTCTCTCTCTCTTTCTCTATCGCTTTGCTTCTCTTTTTTCGCTCGAGCTCGGTCGATTGCGCGTGTCGGTTGTGAGTCTAAGTTGCAGTTGAACGTCGAAAAACTTGTTCAATTTGCGCGTAATTGAAATTAATTAATGTGCACATGAGATTTTGATGCGAATGAGCCAGAGAGACTATAAGCCAGTTTGGACTGAATTGCAATGGTGCGTCCATCTCACACCGGGCATACAAACACACACAAACACACACACACAGCGACGCCAACAATAAGAATCGATGTTTCGGAAAAATCTTGGGTTTGTGTGTTAAACGTCCATTTGGAAAAAACAAAGCTCCAACACTGGGCACAAATCATCAGAGAGGAGCGTGTGCTTGGGTGCGCGCGTGCAGTAAGAGAAAAGACATTGAACAGCAATAATAAACGACAACGACGACGAGTAGCATATATATATATATTCAATGTGATGATACGCATCATAGAGGATCGACATCAAGTTGGGCATCAGGTCTACTGGCGACATCAAAATTAAAACATGTCGCGCTATTCGGTCTTGTGTATGCCTTCCGATATTATGATAATAATCATTAAGTTTTGATCTAGTGTGTATGTGTGTAGATTCGAATCGAGTTCACCGTCCATCGTTCGCTCTCTCTCTCTCTCTCTCTCTCTCTGCTACATCGAGCCAACCAGCAATAGCGATAGAGTGAGTGTATGTATGGCTAAATGGCAAAAACAAAACACTAATAAATTCATGCGAAACACAAACTCGGTGCGACAAGTATAATGTGAAGTAATGAGAACATCATGCATTTAATTTCACTCGGTGGATCGGGTCTCGACATCACATTGGACACATACAACTCGGCCAATCCCGAAGAGAAAGAGTGATGAATGGGCGAAACGAGAACAGTGCTCTGCTTTGCTCTCTCTAGCTAGCTAAGAACAACAATAAAAACAGCCGCCGCAGCAGCAGCAGTGGCAAAACCATACACACACGCCACATTTAACCCGATCAAAAGCACTAGCGATAAAATGCTCCATGAGTTTTACATGTCAACAGCAGTTGTCTCGACGACGATGTTCGAATGGAGAAAGAGAGAATGTTGTGCACCGAGCCACGGTATACAGTTGAGGTATAGAATGAGATCTCATCGTCGTCGTCGTTGTCGTCGTCATAATCATAGTAATACTGGCAAAATGGCAATGTCGCGTTTACTGATACAGAAAAACGGCCAGTCAGCCCAAGCCAACATAACAAATTATTCACTATTTACACATGATTTACGGTATTAGCTGAACGCCGCTGAGAGACTCGATCTGCGCGTTCACTTGGTGCACACACCATAGAGCTTTGGATAGTTCTTTTGCTGCTCAGTCTCTTGCTCGCCGTCTCTCTGTTTTCATCATTAAAACACGACATGTTCTGCTTTTCATTCTCGAGTCGCTCTCTCTCTCTCTCTCTCTCTCTCGCTCCCCACGACTCTCTGCTGTACGCTTACTTTATTTACGTGTACATTTTGCGATTCGCTTCGTATTTTTATTTGTTTGTTTTTAATTTATTATTTACTCATACATATTATATGCTTTAGGTTTTAGCATTTAAATTGAGCGCAAAGAACTATTAAATTTATTGCGATTTTTTCTTTTTTTTCTCTCTTTCACTTGCTGATTCTCGACGATTCACCTTTCTTCAATCTACCGGCTGATCTACAAAATCGGGGTCTCGCTCGCTTTACTCTATCTCGTTCGACGGAGCAGAAGAATAGCATCGCTGCAATTAGATCCAAATACAGTCTCAACTTTCGAATTATATCTTACCTTGAAGCAGGATCGAAGTGGATGGACATCAATACTGCCACAGTTTTTAAAGTAAGTACAAGAAAGAAAGAAAAAAACACACTGAAACCGTTATTATTGTGTGTGTGGTTTTATTTTTTTCATTCGACGTGTTATTTATTATATGTTTGGAATTGTAATTGGCGAGCTTTTTTCAGCTTCAGTTTCTCATTCAAAACATTACCCGATTTTTCCCTGCTCGATTTCGCAGTTTATGTGTCTCTTTATTCATCACGTTCGTGGTGTTGTCAGGCGCACACCCAAAATGCCAATCGAAATAAACATAAATTTATTGTTTGCGCTTGAACTCACTCACTTATTCTCTTTTTCATTCTCGTGCCTTCTCTTGCTGTCTCTTTTAGTCCTTCTTTTGCTACCTCTCGCTCCTTCGCTCTCTTTCTTTCTCTCTCTCTCTCTCTCTCTCTCTCGTTCGCTCGTTCGCTATTTTACACAACACACGGGAGCTGGGCTGTAGAAAAAAAAACACAAGAGGGAAACTGGCCCTCAAAGCTAGAAAATGTGTGTGTGCTATGTGCTTGCAACATATAGAGAGAGAAAAAGCGTTTTTGTTGATGTGGTTTTTTTGTTTCGTTCCTAAATGGCAAATACGAAAAAGTAAATTAACGCGCTTGCATAAAAGTGTGGCCGGTTTCGGTTGGCGTAAATTGCGATCACTCGCTCGATTCTTCGCGAAGCATGTGTGCGCTGCGCGCGAGCGCACGCGACTGCGATTCGATTAGGCGATTTCGCAATTGCACGATTCGACCAAACGAACGAATAGCACACAAAAAAAACTTAACGAAACCAATAGATAATGTTGAGAGAGTTTTGGCGAGGTAATTGAGGCAATATGGGTGCAAATCACGGTGAAAATACAATTGCAGCACTTTGAAAATGGCTTTCATTTTTTTTCGTTGTTTTCGTCGTCGTCGTTGTTGCTGCTGCTATTTTGTTTGTTTCATTCTCTTCAAGCATTTCTATGCCAGTGGTTTCGTGTGTGCGCGTCAGCTCTCGCTCTAGCTTCCCTCTCTCTCTCTCTCTCCGGTGTGGCGGTTTTTTTCTTAAAATAATATTACAAATGTGAAATTGTGCTGCGTATATTGTCAATACGTGCGCCGTGTGTATGGGTCACACACATACACCATACAAATTTCATGCATTGACGCGTTCATCGACCCCAGCATCTCACTCGGCTGTTTTGCTGCTTTTATCTACGCTGATCTCTTCGATTTGGCGTGCATTGCCTATTTTTTGCCGCTTTGTTTCCACATCTCTGAGCCATTCAGTTTGGCCAATCGGTTTTTCTCTCTTTGTTGGCACTTTTTTTTGTTCAGTATTCTTTATCACATTTGATCAACTGAACATTTCAATGGAAAGACTTTTTGGTTTTGGTTTCGGCCGTATGTATTTCTAATTTTTCATTCCGGTGCAAATTGCAATCGATTATAAATGATCGAAATTAGAAAGAAAAACCGAACATTTGTGTGAAAAATGCAAAATTAACGACGAAGAAAAATGAATAATGTTCAGCATTGAATGGAAAATCGTTGGTTGTCTGCATCAAATCGACAAGTGCACTCGCGCACCATCAAATCTGCATGAAAAATCTCATTAAGCACACACAACTCAACAACAAATCCACTCGATCTTGTCTGTATCTCTTGATGATCTTGGTCGGTCGGCCCATGTTCAGTTGTGGATTTCTTTGTCGATGAATGGTTTTTGTGTACAAAAATTTCGCATTGCAAATGATTTTCCTTGCCATGGCTTATGCGATGCATAATTATATGAGGCGAGCACACGTGAAATTCAATGTGCGAAACGAACTAAGGAAGAAAAAAAAATCACTCATATTCACTCTCTTTGCATAATCACTTTTTCAAAACTGAGAAAACGATGAAGAAAAAAAGCAACTGTTGTGCACTTAAGAGATCTAAATCGAACATTTGTTTTGACACCTCTGACGCAAACATCATTTTTTTGTGTGTGTGTTTTTTTTTCGATTCTGTTCGCCTCTATTTTTACTACACTACCAATTATCGTTTTCTAATTTCGGCTAATTTTTTATGTCACACGTGCCATATTTCAAGCTTCGCATGGGGCAAGTCGAATTGAGGAAGCGCGCGCGAGAGCACCACACATCAAACAATTCAAAAGCCAAATTGTAGAAAATATGTGAACATGAACTGATTCTCTCTCTCTCTCTCTCTCTCTCTCTCTATCTGACCCAGCCGAGAAGGAAAAAATCAACTTTCCTCAATACACGAGCTGCCATTGTTTTTATGAACTGTCATATTTGAAAAATGATTTTTTTGCTGGCTCGTGTGAGCCGCTTCTTTCTCGTTCGCTTGTGGCACAACAAATAAATTTTTTTTGTGCACATGAGCATCTCCCAATATTTCTTTTCGTAACACTATTCAACTATGTTTTCTTTTTTCGCATCGCATACTCTTTTCATCGCATCAACTGGGATTAACACGGCAAAATGTTGCTTTTCACATGACAAAATCGTTGTAGGCTTATTTTCTCCACATTACGTAGAATTAAAATGACACTTTTGCGAGCCATGCGTACGCAACGACCGAAACGAGAAAAAAAAAATGTGCAAATTTTTTGTTGATGGAAACGAATCGCGCTGAGATGATGTCAACAAATTTAACGGTGTCATTCACATTTTGCGCGATGCGAAAATGACACACACGCGCCCCAAAAATATATATTTATGTTGATTCGCATTCAAACGGTCAACGTCATTTAAATCATGGACCTTTTTTTCGCTTCGAATATTTTTGTCAGACGTTTTTTTTTTCTCGAGCGAATCTTTTATGTTTATTTAATTGGTTGGCAATTTTTCATGCAAGCTGCGCTATTTCAGAGAGAAATGAAAGAGAAATTGATGGATTCTGAATTGAATTGGGGGGAAAAGTGGAGACTTTTGGATCAAAATTGAAGAGTTTTGGATCAAAATTGAGAAGTTTTGGGTCGAAATTGAGAATTTTTGGATCAAAATTGACGATTTTTAGATGAAAATTGACGATTTTTGAAACAAATTCGGGAATCTGCGAGTTAAAATGAGAAATATTGAAAACTTTTGAGCTAAAATAAAAATGTCTGAATGGCAATGGATGAATATTCGTTGAGTTTCTACATTAAAATGAATGAATTCACCAACTTGTCACATGACATAAACAAATTTATTCAATTAAATTAATGAATTTCTTTTTTGTTTCGTTTTTTTTTCATCACAGAAATTTGGCAAGAGGCAGCACCATAATGATAAGTCCAGACTTTTTAGTTGCAAAAACCAAATTGTATCGTTCATTATCGGAATGAATGCCCGACCATCATCCACACCAACGACAAATCATCTAAAAACAAACACGCAAAAAAAAACTGTAACAATCAATATGGCAATATTAAACGTACCGTGACGCAAGCATGTAACTGAAATAGAAAAAAAAATACACCGTAAAATCGACTTGGATGATGATGGACAGCATCCATCATAGACACATCATCTGCAGTCCAGCTGAGAGAGGCCGATCATCAAAGCAGTATCAGCAACAAAGATGGAAGGAGTCGAAAAACGTCTTGATTATATAATAGTCTTTGACGGATGAACAACAACTGACACGCAAAACAAATGCAAACACAAATACACACACATACAATAACAAAAAATATACCCGACGAACATTTGAAGATTTTCTCATCTGGATTATCATGTTCATCATGCCATTACTGTTTTACTGTAATTAAAAAGAAGAAGAAAAGAAAGAAAGAAAAAAAGCGATTGCGATGTGATATGGAATGAATATGGTCGTTTGCATTATTTCATTCCGTCATTTGTTTCGTGAATGGTGGGCTGGTGCGTGCGCGCGCGCATCCGTCATTCTAAAAATGCGAAACGAAATAGAATTTGGTGATTTTGTTTGTTTGACGGAGTGTGATCTGTATGCAATTGCATCAAATCTTACTCAATCGAATTTCAATGGAATCGTCGCAGAGACGACAATAATTTGATATCATCATGATTAAAATGCAACCACTCACACCTCGTCAACAATCACGAAATTTATATTTCATTACAAACAACAACAACAACAACAAAATTAATTAACATTTAACAACAAACAAAAAAAAAAACAAATAAGAAAAAAAAACATTATACATACAACGCAAAAACAAAGCAAAAGTGATCAAATATAGAGCACATACGCACTCACAACATATGTTGCTGAATATTTATTATAACTAGGCGTAGAGAATAGAATAGTGTATAGCTTAAGAATTTCAGAGAAAAACACATACACACACAATTTTTGTTTTTCATTCTGTTTTGAAAAGAGAAGAAAAAAAAACACACACACACTAACACATGATAATAATGCAGATAAAAAGCCCATTTTTTTTCTTCAAAAAATAAAATGCAGAACAGATAAAGAGAGAAAAATAAAATCGAATGAAACATTCATCACACATACACCGCAAATTTTAAGAAATACAGAGAAAAACACTCGCATACAATAATATTTTGTTTTTTTTTCGTTAAATTAAGTCTTTCATTAGTATTTGAAGCCAATTGATGTGAATACAAATTAAAAAATGGGATGAAACAAACAAACAAGAAAAAAAATTCATGAAAAAAAATCTTTATATATATATATTATATATAGAACAATAGTGTTTAAAACAAGGAGCAAGCAGAAGAAAAAAACAAATCAGTTTTTAATGAGTTTTAAATGCTCCGCATACCACATCATTCGCTGTAACGTAGTCGCTGAGTGCTGAGAGACTGCATGTCGTCGATGACGACGTAGTCGTTTCTCACTCTCTCGTGCTCGTTCTCATTCTTTCAGAGACTTCCTTTTTGTGTTGCTCTCAATCTATCTCGCTCTCACAAACATTCTCATTCTATTACATATATCGCTCTCTCTCTCTCTTACCCTTTCTATCGATCGCTGTCTCTCTTTCACTCATTTAATTTCGTTGTCGTTTTTTTCTTTCATTCTAAAACCGCACTAACAATAGTAATTACGAATCAAATTCCCACTCGAAATGATGTAATCGAACAATTAAGCGACAAATGTCTAAATGTAAAAAAAAAACACACTCACATTATATCAAAATACCGATGCACATGACACAGACACACAGAAATGCTCATTCAATGTGCGGTTGTCATATGTAAATATAAAACTTTTTCTACCGACCGTTTTGTACCGGCCGATGAGTGCAACAAATAGATTACTGGCGAGAGATACAAGGAATAAACCTGCATCAAAGAAATATGAAGCGATTTTTTTTTATTGGTTTTTTGAATTGCATTTTGTTTGAAACGGAAAATTTGTAATTTAAATGACATGAAAAATTCAAGCATAAAAGAGTATTTCATTGCATACAAATATCTCTTGAAGAGTAAACATGGAATGACAGAGTTTGAAAAGAAGAGATAGAACACATAATTAACAAACAAAAAAAAACAAACGAAATATCATCGATTTCAACACATATTTTAGAATAAAACACAAACACACCCACTGTGGGACTCACAGTGTGAGTAAACAATAGAAGAGGAAAAAAAACACATGCAAAGAAAACAGAGCAAAACATAACACATTTTGCACTTTAATTGAGAGAATGATATATACGCAAGAACAATATGGATAGAGTGGATCATGCGACCGTGAAAATGTCATTGCAACAACAGTTCGCTCACACACAGAGAGTGAAAAATGATGTTGAAAATAAAATTGCGAGAATAGAGAACAAAAAAAATAACGAACGGATTATGTGAGAGATACATACGTATTTGGATGATATGGAATACGTGAAGGAATTTCGAACAATCAATCTTTATTGAGCATTGCTCATTGAGCAATTCACAGCATTGCGGAACATTTTAAATTTCGTTTCCCGGTTTTTACAATACACAATTGTTTTCCAACCAATCCACCACCCCCTCCTCCTCCCATTGCGTTTAGCGTAGATGCTTTGCAAAGTCATTTTCCTCCAATGTGTGCCACCATCGAAAGCCAAATCGAATGGCCTATGCGATTGGCTGCCAAATCTATTTGAGAGTCGATAGCTCAGCTGCTAAATTGGTGTCACAATCAATTTATACTCCGTCGACAATCGGCTGACAATTGAACGTTTTAACTCTCAAAACGTCTCAACATTTTCACTCAAATCTAACGATTTATTCGAAATATTGATTCAACATTCGAATGCAATGATCCGATTAAGGCAAATTTCCAAATAGAAGAAATGAGAGTTTTTGCATGAACGAGTGTACGTGGATGGGGTTACAGTGGCCAACCCGTTGCAATAGATCTCATGTGTGTTTTTGTACATTTCCAAGAAATCAAATCACACAACAAATTTTTTTTTTTTAATATCTCAAATCGAATATGATTAATCAAGCCGCTTTAACCAATCCTCGTAGCATCTCAGGCACAAAAAAAAAAGTTCAAAGCGATTTTTTTTTCTATTCTTTCCAAATCAACGATCTTCTCCATCGTGCAAAAAACCATTTGGAGATATTCAATGAGAACATTTGAAGGGTCATGACGTTCCAAATCGAAAAATCGAATTTTTTTCGCGCAAAATTAGAAAAAAGTCATCAAGCGAAAAATCGCGAAAATTTGATAGAAAAATTCGAATTTTTTTTCGCTCGAGCGAAAAATCGCAAAAATTTTAAGAAGCAAAAATCGAGCGAAAAATGGAAAGAAAAACAAAATTGAGCAAAAACTTAATGAAATTGAAGAAGAAGATCCAAATCTTCCGAAACTCAATTCAATTTCAGAATTTTTCTGTGGAAAGTTAAAAAAATTTCTGCGGAAATTTGCCCGAAACCCAATCGTAAATTGGCACATTGGAAATGTGATATGACACATACTCACAAGCACAGCTGGACAGAAAAAAAATGTTGATGAAAGAAAATTAAATCCGACAAATGAAAAGAAAAAAACGGCAATTAATGGATCTCTATAGTTTAAATGAAGAAAAAAAAAACAAAATAAATATTTAAAGAAGCGAGTTTTTCTTTAGCTTGTGTTGTGAAAATGCACCTCCCCGCCCGCCCCCCGCATGAATACTGCAGAGATAAAAACGAAATTTGCCCGAAACCCAATCGTAAATTGGCACATTGGAAATGTGATATGACACATACTCACAAGCACAGCTGGACAGAAAAAAAATGTTGATAAAAGAAAATTAAATCCGACAAATGAAAAGAAAAAACCGGCAATTAATGGATCTCTATAGTTTAAATGAAGAAAAAAAAAAGAAAATAAATATTTAAAGAAGCGAGTTTTTCTTTAGCTTGTGTTGTGAAAATGCACCTCCCCGCCCGCCCCCGCATGAATACTGCAGAGATAAAAATGAAGGAGTATATTATTGTTTACGAACGAAACGAAACGAAAAATAACAGAGAAAAAGAAAATTGTTTAGAATTATAGAGTTCAAAAGTGATGATATAACTTTTGCTTATAGATTATAGGTTCTTAGCTTTTAGATGGTATTAATAAAAACAAGAACAAGAAGAAACAGATTTTTTTTTGATATGAGCTAAAACCGATACTGAAGGAGGAAAGAAAAACAATGAAACCAACAACAACAACAACAACAACAAAATATATAAAAAAAATATCTCAAGTAATAAAAATGAGCGGAACGCATTGTTTTTGTGCGCGAAACAAAACCATTTCGAGAACATAAACCAACCAAGCCGAGCATATTTGATTTTCTTCAGCCTATACATGTGACAAAATGAAAAGACACGCAATCCCATAATTAATAACCGAAAGACAAAGAAAAAAAAGGCGAAGGGATGAAGGATGAACCGTCAGGCAGCTAAACTGAATGGAATAAAGACAAGCTAATATTATAAAGCCCATTTCAATTTAATTCCTCTATTTTGGCCGTTTTTCTTTTTCTTCAGCTTCGTGTCAATATATAATCTTTGTTTGATGTCTCTTCACTTAGCCACCCTCTACTCCACTCCACCCCACGCCAAGCCAAGTTTATCGGCGTGTTTCATACACATTCACGAACACACAATCTCTATAATCAAATATCAAAAGATGAAACAAGTTCAAACCGCTTTGAATGTAACAGTTATCTACCACCCACGCATTAAGAGTCATTGACGATAGAACGAAAAGAAAAACAAAACAAACAAACGCACAAATATGAAGCTATGAATTCAATAAATATAGATAGCAAATATATATATGAGTATTTCACACGCAAAACTAGAACGTTTCTATGTCCAGGCATACATACACATTGTTGTCAACACTCTGTCTCTGTCTTTGTCTCTATGTTTAGCAAACATATTTACTAAATTACACACAATCTGGTGCAATATCACACACACACACACACACACACTCACAACACACATCGAGGGTGAACATCGCAATTCTATTCGTGCAAAATATGTGCAAAAAAACAGTGTATTTTATGTATAGATATGAACGAACACTGAGCCGCAAACTGAAACACTAACTCAATTGAACAACTCTTTTGATCCGAGTATTTTCGTTTTTTTTTTCATTCGTTTCTTTTTCCTTCATCAACACCCTGTATCTATCAACTAAACGAACAACAATCAGTAAAATAACAACAACAACAACAAAAAAACCGAAGGGAAAAAAAATCTTCAACCAAAAAATCAATGTTCCATTTTGACATTAAGATGAAATCGTGTATCGAATAGGAGTTTTTGTATCACAAATTATTATTGTAAAGATGAGAAAGAAAAAAAAACAAAGAAAACACACAAAAAAAAAAACACAAAACAAATATTGTT